AAAATCGTTCAAGCGGCTTGCGATTAGGTGCATGTGCGAAGACAAGCATATGACAACTTCACGTATATGAATAAGATTGTGCATATGGGTCCATTTATTTAGCTGAAGAGTCCTTAGATTTCTAAGTCACTTTTATTAATTAGGAGACTTTCTTGTACATAGCACCAATGGCAGTAATGGTTACTTCATTCTCATTGACAGCAATTTTTATGGATATGTTGAAGATCTAATTAGTAAAATCTGGCTTGATTGGTTTTCTTCCGAACCAAGATGATTTGCAGTTTACATAGACTTCGTTTACTTTTAGAGCAAGCTTATCTATTAATTAAGTTCCGTGAACAGCTTATGAGATGCCGGATTAGTCTCAGAATTATTAATTCAGATATCCCTCTGGTTCCCAATTGTTTCTAATCGGAGACCAACCAAAATCGGTTCTCAATTCAGTGCTCGCGTAGGATGTTCCCTCATTGAGAATAATGAAAATTCATCTTCTTTTCATAGAATACTGAGTCTGTACTATCGTTGCCGCAACACCAGCAAAGTTGCCAAAGATATTTGTTATATTCAAAGTACTTAGTTCGTATATAAAGTTAAAATGACTAAAATTATGTTAGACACGCCCAATACATTAATAATCACAATTTTAAGTTCTCTTGTGCGGACATTTATCTTTATAATGTTTTCATTATTTAATGGAAAAATAAAATCATTGTATATATAATTGTTTTTTTTTTTTTTAAATTTTGAGAAACGTGTAGTTGCTCCTCGATTAAGAATTTTCTTAATAATAGTGAGCTCCAATTTTGAGTATAGGCGTATATTTCCACATGTCGTTGGCTATCGGCCCTTTAAAGAATTCTTGCGAACTCTTGCAATGTGATTCGGAAAGGTGGAGGATGTTCATGTCATCTTCTGATCCTCGGTTCCCGGTTTTTCCGTTATCCTCGAACTATTAGGCCTGTTCACAAAGCCTGATTGATTGACTGTTCGCCTAAATCAAATGGTGATTCCGTGCTTTTTTTTTCTTTAAAAATCAGTTTTCGTCACAATATGACATTCTTTGGAAACCGATTCGAATTCGTTTGTGTAAAATAAATAACTCTTTCGTGTTAGCGTATCTTAACCCTTTGATTTATTTCACTGACTTGAATACGCCTTACCATGCGTAATGCCATCTGTTAACGAAAGGATCCATAATTAGGCCGGGAGGAGTAGCTCATCATCTAACTCATAGCGAACATATTATTCTTGATGGCTGAAGCGGCCTTTCATTCTTTCGCGACATCTTAATCTATATCCGTTTAACCTCACCATTGCTAAGATTTCCTCATTTCACAATTTAATCGTTTTAAGAGAGTAACATGCCAAACTAACTTAATTCATTTTAATAAACCTTTTTATAAATATACAATAACATTTGTATATTAATTAGAAATTGTTAAAAAAATCCGAATACAAAGAACTTGAGTTGAATATACGCTTTGATGCACAATAGGCAAAATAGCGGTAAGCAGAACCAGGCTTCATAAATTTTTGGAAAATTTTGTTTTTCCCATTTTTGTAAAATTTAATTAAATCTTGTTAAAGCATTGCGCGCTACTTGGGGGTAAGGTTGCAGAAATAGCTAGGTTAATACTTTATAGAAGGCTAGGGTTCCAATATTTTCAGCAGAGAAATCGAGCATAATGTGTGAAACAGTAAAATATTAGTTTTGTTAAAATCATAATTTTTATCGGGAGAAGTTGGATTTGGCACGTTAGAGTAGTTCAAAGGAGTAGCGACTTACAACTATCTCCGGGAAGTTGGCAAAGAAAAGATCTAGCAATCTGCTAATATAATAGGAGTTCGGTAGTATTGCTGTAAATTATGATCAAATAATTCAAAAGACAATAGCTCTGCCAGATGTTGAAGTGGTGACCATACAGCCAGAATTGTCACTATAACCCCAAGTTACTTGTGGCAAATTGCAGTCCCGTAACTCTATGAGTACATCAGTAGGTTGAGACTTTTCGGCCACTTCACAAATGAGGGCAGCGTGTTTCTTATAGATGATGATATCCAAATTTGGGGGGAAGGTAGGAACAAGTTACGTATAGCTGTTTATTGGAAATTTTCGCCCGAATGGCAATAAATTCTACGTAGGGACGAGTAGAAAATTTAATTGAGTAGGACGGGACTGTAGTAGATGTGGCAATTATGACACCACCACCAGTGTGATCCAGTCGTTCCTTTCTGAAAGTCTGGAAGGCACTGTGAAAAATTTTCGACAAATCTAAATCAGGCTTTAAACAAGTTTCAATGAAGGCCAAACAGGAAAACTCCGTGCTTACTGAGTTTAGGCCCCTGACATTTTGGCAATTGAAAGTTGCTGGACCTGAAGAAGCAATGAGTGTTTTGAGGATGGAAAAGCAATCGAATTTGTATTACGCAGTCCATTCCGAGCAATGAATTCCTTAATTGAGGATCCAACTCGCCACTATGGTTTGTTAAGCAAAATATCTATATATTCAGTCGGAACTAATACTTTAAAAAACGAGATAGCTCTAATTGACGGATGGGGCTTTCGCAACCAGATAACTTTTTATGAATTATGTGAATATCAAACTTAATATTATTCGTCGTATGGAATTTTTAGTTATTCATAGGTGAGTTGCAAGCGGAATAGGAAAATAAATATGCCATATTCTTTACACGTAACATGTGTACAAAGAGAGAAAAATGTTGAAAGAAGAAGTAGAACATAGAAACGCTTTTTCCCTTAAGGTCATGTTTCGCAGTCGCACACTCAATAAGAAAGTCGTAAAAAATGCATTTTGCTGGGGCCACCAAAGAAAGAAAATAGCAATTGACTTCTTACCGGCGATTGCCGGTAAGTGAGTTTCGAACGAACCTTGGATACTCACCATCTGTAACTGGGATACAGGAAAAATCTTATTTTTTATAGACTCCTAGGTCCTACAGTGATATTGCAGACACTTTCGTTTTAACATTGCTGAAATAATTATTATTAATTGCATTGGAAATTTCATCAATGACAGATTTAGTTCGATGTATCTATATATACTTTCTCAAAGGGTAATAAAATTATTATCAATTCTTTTCAAATCTTATAAAAATAAATAACGGACCAGGGGAGAGATTGCTAAGAAAACCTTAAGCAAACCCTTTCAAGTGTTGCAAACGGAATGAGAAAACTAATATACCTTCAACTTTTAGATAATAGACATGAAAATGTTGAATATTAAGTTATTTCTTCAAAATGTACATTCAACACAACGCGCACGGCCACACACGTCGGATAAGGTCATTAATTATCTGAAACATTTATGTTTGTACACGGCATACACTTCTTTTGAACTTAAAGTTTAGAAAAATTTTAGGTTAAAAAAAAACGAAATAATAATAAAAAAAAGACCAATCAATCTTTTAGTTGATGAGTTTGATTATAATAATATTAAAAACTTCTTTGATTGATAGGTAGACAGACGTTTGGTTTTTTTCTCGTTTTCGTTTAACGTACAGCTGGCAGCTGCTGCTGTACCCCAATTATACTTTTTTCAAGATTTCTCCAAAATATGCTTTAAGTTCGAAGGCTTTTTTCAATTGCTGTTAGCCTTTTGTTAAAAGCGAAGGGGAACGAATGAATAACTTCTCATTCAAATAAATGCAAAGATTAAAAAAAAAAGAAGAAAATTGAAATAAAATAAACACACAACGCTATAAAAAATGTAAACAAGATCAACATTAAAGGACCACCCAGACTGAGTCAATTTCCGACTCCAGTTTCCAGTTTTGTTAATAAACAACAAAAATAAGGGCAACATTTCGTAATCGTTTCGAATTAAATGACAAGTGAAAACATTACCGGGGGGATGCGGCAAACCATTACCAAATACTCTTCAAAATAGGGCTTTGTAGAGGGACGAGTCGAATAAGTGGTCAAATCTGAACTATTTTCAATAGCGTTCGTCCTTGAGCCAAAACATCTCGGTATATCGAATTTCATCAAAATATTTCCGAAATTACGGTCTGTGGACCAAAGAGGGCAGCACAAACAGATGGACGGACAAGCCTAGAGTGATTCTAAATTGTTCGTTATTAATAAAAAGTAGGTCTATCTTATATCCTTCCGGGTGTTGTGTTGCGTAATATAACCTTGCGTCACAAGCGGTGTAGGGGATAATGATATTTATGATATTTCTTAGTCGAATTTCAAGTAAAAGGTACGCTTGGTTCACGTGCATTCTATTCTCTCTTGGCAAGTTGTAGATAGATATACAAATCAAAGGCATCAAATAAAAAAATAATAAAAAAGAACATAGTGTTTTTACTTGATTTAATTCCGTGCAAATTTAGTGTAACTCAGAAATAAACTTTTTTTATCTACTTGGCTTCAATATCTTAATATTTGGAGAGAGATATTTGGAAGAGATATTATCCTAATTAATGATTCAAACTGATTATATCTTAACAGTTTCAAAATTCCATCCTTAACCTGTTGCCTTCCCTAGGCGCCACTAAGCCGGCATAGATGGTTACAAAGGGTGGCTTACGTTCAATGACTAACAGATTCCGTATTCAAACTTGCTGTGCACTCTTAGTGAATTTTTTACCTTTGAAATTTGTGAAACAGTTGGTCGACCAACTAATAGACAATTTCCGGATGGAAAGTGCAAAAGGTTCAAGTACCATTTCCGAAGACAGCGTACACGTAAGTACACGTAATGCGAAAGGGCGCAAAAAAAGGGTTCGGTAGTGTTCCGGGATCCGTGAGGGAACCGATTATTGTCACACATGTGTAAATAAAAGCCGCGACTGCATATGGGAGATTGTTTCTACAGGCGTCACACTATGTTGACACTTGGAGTTCAAAGAGTTCATTCTTAAATGTGTTAAAAGTCTTGAATGCACAAAAATTACACCGATGTACTTCCGAAGAGGCTTCATCGAAAATAACAAAGATAATTTGTAGATAATAATGCGATTTTTTTTGTTTACAGGGTAAAGCCCGCGGCAATCGTACTTCAATTTATTTGCGTTCAGTATTTCAATCACACCTCGAATCTCTGGGTAATTCAGTACAAAAACATGCGGGCAAAGTGTTATTTGTTGCCATTCTAGTGTTAAGTACATTTTGCGTTGGCCTCAAATCTGCTCAAATACACTCGAAAGTTCACCAATTATGGATACAAGAGGGCGGCAGGCTGGAAGCTGAATTAGCCTATACGCAAAGAACTATTGGAGAAGCGGAAAGTTCAACGCATCAATTATTAATACAAACGGCTCATGATCCTAATGCCTCGATACTGCATCCGCAAGCTTTGCTTACACATCTCGAAGTTTTGAAAAAGGCTACCGCTGTTAAGATACACATGTTCGATGCCGATTGGAGTTTAAGGGATATGTGTAATTCGCCAACTACGCCCAGTTTCGAAGGTCCTTATTTCATAGAACAAATATTTAAACATTTAATACCATGTTCTATAATAACACCCCTGGATTGTTTTTGGGAAGGAGGCCAGCTGCTAGGTCCTGAGTTTCCTGTGAAAATACCGTAAGCTTTTCTCTCTTGTTCTTCACTAAAAAAAATATGTTTTTTTTACAAATTTTTTTTACAAATTATAGTGGCATTGATACAAACATTACTTGGAGCACTTTGAATCCCTCTAGTCTTATGCAAAAGATGAAGAAACAAATGAGCGATCAGAAAATCTCGTTTGATTTCGGTACTATGGAACAATACATGAAAAGAGCTGCTATAACGTCTGGCTATACTGAGAAACCCTGCTTGAATCCTAAAGATCCGCATTGCCCGGAAACAGCTCCGAATAAAATGAGTAAACAACCCTTAGATGTGGGCGCTATACTGACCGGTGGCTGTTACGGTTTCGCTGCCAAGTATATGCACTGGCCTGAAGAGTTGATTGTAGGCGGTGTGGTGCGCAACCGCACCGGGCATTTACGAAAAGCTAAAGGTCTTCAGACAGTAGTCCAATTAATGACTGAAAAGGAAATGTATGACGTATGGAACGAGCACTACAAAGTTCATCATATTGCTTGGACGCAAGAAAAAGCTGCCGAAGTGCTAAATGCCTGGCAAAGAAATTTCACCAAAGAAGTGGAAAAGTTAATGGAAAGCTCTCGCGTTTCTCACAATTATGATGTCTATGTTTTTTCCTCGGCCACCCTGGATGATATACTTGAGAAATTTTCTAATCCCAGTCCTATTAGTATTGTTATTGGCGTTATAGCTACTGTGTTGTATGCCTTTTTTACTTTGATTCGTTGGCGCGATCCGGTTAAAGGACAAAGTAGTGTAGGTGTGGCCGGAGTTCTGCTAATGGGTTTTTCCACTGCGGCCGGCTTAGGCTTGTGTGCTATACTGGGCATTGTCTTCAACGCAGCCAGTACGCAAGTCGTGCCCTTTTTGGCTTTGGGTTTGGGAGTGGACCACATTTTCATGCTTACCGCTGCTTATGCGGAAAGTAATCGCAAAGAGCAAACTAAATATATACTAAAAAAAGTTGGACCCAGCATTTTATTTAGTGCATGCACCACCGCGGGATCGTTTTTTGCTGCTGTCTTTATACCAGTGCCAGCCTTGAAAGTTTTCTGCTTACAAGCGGCCGTAGTAATGTGCTTTAATTTGGCCGCTGCTTTGCTAGTATTTCCGGCGATGATATCTTTGGATTTGAGAAGACGCACCGCAGGAAGAGCAGATCTATTTTGTTTATGCTTTCCTATATGGAAGGAGAAATCCACATTAGCCGGAACAATGAATAACAATTTGGCAACTTCTCAGTACACGAGCAGCAATCGTTTACGCAACATTACCACCATGATACCCAAAAATTTAAACAACTCTAGAACACCTCCAATGCCAATGAGCAATTCGGCAAATGCTGATGGAACTGCTGCCGCACAAGAGGAGGCGCTACTTAATTGCTCTACTGAAAAGCGTTTGCCATCGCTGTCATTGGCTAAATTTGCCTACAAATACTACACACCGTTTATTTTAAAAAGTTGGATGAAGTTCCTAATAACTGTTACTTTCATAGGCACAGTGGTATTCAGTTTATTAGCCTCTACTAAGCTACAGGACGGCTTGGATTTAATCGATGTGGTGCCTAAAGAAACGAATGAGTACAAATTCTTAAGCGCTCAGACTTCAATGTTCGGTTTCTATAGTATGTACGCCGTTACTCAAGGAAATTTTGAGTATCCTAACAATCAACGTTTATTGCATGATTATCATGAGGCATTTGTTCGCGTGCCACATGTAATTAAGAACGACAATGGTGGTTTGCCAGAGTTTTGGTTGTCCTTATTTCGCGATTGGTTGCGAAATCTGCAAAAGATCTTCGATCATGAATTCAAAGATGGGCGACTAAATCAAGAAGGCTGGTACGCAAATGCCTCTAGTGATGCTATATTGGCTTACAAGCTGTTGGTGCAAACAGGGTATGTTGATAATCCTGTGGATAAGAGTTTGGTAACACAGCACCGCTTAGTCGATCAGGATGGGATAATAAATTCGAAAGCATTCTATAATTATTTGTCGGCCTGGGCAACAAACGATGTCTTTGCTTATGGAGCTTCGCAGGTAAATTGAGCTCTTTTAGATTAGGGAGGTAATGTGAAAGTTTTTCTTTTTTTAACAAAGGGAAAATTACATCCTGAGCCACGTCAGTATTATCACGAGCCCACTGAATATGACTTGAAAATTCCGAAAAGTTTGCCACTGGTTTACGCACAGATGCCTTTCTACTTGCACGGTCTCACCGATACCTCAGAAATTAAATCATTGATCTCCCATATTCGCGATTTAAGTGTACGTTTCGAAGCGCGAGGCCTACCAAATTATCCCTCAGGTCAGTATGATTTTTTTTTTTTTTTACAATTAAATGAATCCATATAATGTTCAATATTTATAGGTATACCCTTTATTTTCTGGGAGCAATATATGACGTTGCGTTCTTCCTTGGCTTTGATATTATGCTGTTGCATTTTGGCTGCTTTCATGTTAGTCTCGATACTATTACTCTCCGTATGGGCTGCTCTGCTTGTCGTCTTTAACGTCGTGGCTTCTTTGGCACAAGTTTTCGGCGCTATGACTTTGTTGGGGATTAAATTGTCAGCTCTACCTGCTGTTATACTCATATTAAGTGTGGGCATGATAGTATGCTTTACTGTGAATATATCCTTGGTAATAATAACCGTGCAGAGCAATTTTTATTCTTCATGTCTAATCAAATGTTTTTTAGGGCTTCATGACTTCGGTTGGAAATCGCGAACGTCGCATTCTCTTGTCTATGCAAGTCTCTATGGGCCCCTTAACGCACAGCATTTTAACATCGACTCTCGCTGTACTCATGCTGTCTACTTCGCCCTTTGAATTTGTTATAAGGCATTTCTTTTGGTTACTTCTCATTGTTTTGAGTGTTGGTGCTTTTAATAGCCTCGTGGTCTTTCCTATAATACTAAGCATGATAGGGCCTGAAGCTGAACTCGTACCCCTTGAATATCCCGATCGTATATCCACACCCTCGCCAGTACTAACGCGCAGTAATAAACGTGTTAATAAAACCGTGGTAGTTCATGGAGGCTCATCGTCTCGCTCCTCAACGCGTTCTTGCCAGAAACCTCATTATCATTCTAAAGATATTAATGTTAACAATCCTTCTTTAACCACCATCACCGAAGAACCACCCTCTTGGAAATCGTCATCGTCTTCCATACAAATGAATAATGAATGGATACATAACGGCGGAAGCGGAGGTGGGATAGGACAACAAGCAACCCATTATAGTAACAATCTTAACTACGGAACAAATATGAATAATTGCCGCTATCAGCATTCAACACCATCGCAAGCAATGCATCAAAATATGCACTATAATCAGCCGTTATACAGTACAAACGGATTACATCCGCCTACAACGCTACCGCAATGTCAAGCACATCATCCGCTTAATAATATAACATCGCATATAGCGCAGCCGCCACAATCGACAACATCACAAATCAGTTCCCAGCAGCAACAGACATCAACGTCGCAGGAATCACAAACGAATAAAAACGTAAATACCTTTCCACCAGAATTGCAAAGTATCGTTGTACAACCGGAAGTCACGGTCGAAACACATCATTCAGATTCAAATACCACGAAAGTAACGGCCACTGCCAATATTAAAGTCGAATTGGTAACTCCTGGTCGAGCAGTGCGCAGTTATAATTTTACAAGTTAGCCGTAAACTGCTTCTCAGCTCCTAATTTCCCCTATCTACCCGCCTAATTAATTAGATAAGTTAATTAAATCGATTAAACGCTAATGTTATTATCTTCACTTCTACCCCAAACAAGCAAGTATTGAATATTTGTGAATAGTATATTTGTAGTAGACCTGATTTTAAGCCAAAATGAGTTAATAACGAAAAATAAGATCACGTGAAAAAACTATAAACACACTCTCTCCCTCTGTCTGTCTCTCTCTTTCTCTCTCTTTCTCTCTCTCTCTCGTTATTTGTCTATTTATCTGTCTCCCTTTATCTATCTTTACGAATTCCACTGGTATTCTTTTCACTTTCAAAGCTATTGCACTGTTTACTGCAAAACGGCTATTGCTGTTAATTGCTGCAAATTAAATGAAGAGAGGAATAAAAAGAAAGGAGTGAAAATGTGAATAATAAAGTTACAGTTTCTCTTAAGCTCTCCCTTATTTCAAATAAATGTACAAATAATAATCACTATTGTTAAGTGATAGTTTAGATACTTAACGTATGCATTTTTCAATATTTATGCCGAACATGGATAAATAATATCAAGCATTGGCAAGCTTAAAACTTTAACATTACATACAGTTATGTTCCCTGTAGACTTAAGGTGTAAGAATTTTTGCATTAAATTAATTTAAAGAAAAAAAGATTGAAATTTTTAACTATTTTGTATATTAAAACATTTTTTTGTAAAGTAATTTTTTTTTATCCTTAGTAAAAAACAAATTTTAAACTCTCAAGTACTCTACGTTTAGAGAAGGCTCAGAATTGTTTTATTTTAAATTTTATTTATTACTCTGCATTACTTTAACATTGTTTTGTAAATTATTTTCATGTAAAGTAGCCATTAATTTTATAAGCCTGATAATTGAATACAACTTTATATTATTGTATTGCATTCTTTTTTTTTTTTTTTTCTTTTTGTGAAGTTTTAAATTTAGTTTAATTTAGGTCACAAAGGCTTCTTGTTTTCAGAAATAAAGACTTAATTGATTTTACCAAAAAACTTAGCTAGTTTTTCTTTTAGGTTTAACGTAATCTTAGAGCCAAAGTTATACTGGGCTAATTATTACGTGGCCACGATCGCTGTACAAAAGTGAAATCAAGAGATATCCAATTAAAGTCGAAATCTTCCTGATACCGACAGGTTAACGCAACTCCGTTCTAAAATCCCCAATGGAAAATATTTTTCTTACTTTTTATGCGCATCTCTACGTATAGTGCAAAGTATATATAAGTTTTTGCGAACCTATGTATTAAAATCATCATCGCATTTTGCATTCCAAATTCTTTCATCTGCTATACCTATACCGAAGATTTTTAAAAAAAACATTTATCCACTAACTCGCGACGTCTACCGCAACTAATTTACAATCAACACACATAGCTTGACGCATTCTACTCGCCAAATGCTTTTATATGATACCCATGTCACTAACATTATTCATTGTAACTTTGTGTGGGCATGACTGGTTTTTTCGATTTTTGCGCGTAAAAAGCGGAGCGTTTCGTACAGTAAATGTAGAAAATTTCAGCTTCCTATGTTTGATAATTTCTGGGTAACGAGCAAAAGCCCATAAATTTTTGTTCAGAAAAACAGAGTTGCGTTTAGTTTACGCTCTACTGCGGGATTCTGCTCTGAACAGTTTGGCCCATTTTCCAGTGATCCAATTTTTCTACTAAATTTTAAGTCGATATCTCCATTTCGCGATCAAGAAAGTGCTAGCAAGCCACATCACACAGTAACAGGCAGACAAACATGGCTTAGTCAATTCAGAATTTGGTGCAGATCAAAAATATATATACTTTATACGGTCGCTGATGCTTCCATTTGAGTGTTACATACATTATGAAACGGAACACCTCCTACAATGGTGGGTGTAAAAATAATGAAATTCTTAGAAAGCAAATTAAGTTTGCAAAATTTGGATGGCGTCATGTGATGTTTCGAGACAACCGCAATAAATGATCTTTCACGGAAAGTGTGCCTCTTGCGTAAAAATAATGCGCAATTTTTGGTATATTTTTAGCAAAACAAGTGAGTAACTGTAGTAGGCGAAGTAGTGTAGGGTATCTAACGGTCGGCGTTGCCCGACTATAATGTCCTTACTTGTTCAATTTGCAATCAACCTCTTCCCGTTCGAAATTTCATAACTGGCATACCTTAAAGGATTGCTTTTGTTTTTCGGCAATAGAACGCCTGCGGCGTTTACCTACCTTTAAAAACTAAAAAGCCGGGTAGGAACAATTTCATATATCCTGGAAAGACCAAAACAATAACTTAATGCTTAGTTCTACATAGCCCCCTTCACTGCACTTTTTAAATTTTATGAGGAAAGCGTTCTCAAACATTTTGCTCCCTTTATCTTCATAAGGCAGGCTAGGCTCTTCAATTTACATTTACGAGTTCTTTGTTTTCGAATGACGGTTCTGACAAAAATATCCGTTTTATATGCGAGCCTTTCTCTATAGTTAAACCTATCACCGAAGGATGAGAGGTATATTCAATTTGTCACATATAATCTTTGCCACGTCCAGGAGGAAGTTTCAAGGACATTAGAAAGTTTACATATTTTTGATCAGGGTGAAATTCTGAATCGATTTAAGCATATTCGCCTGTAACCTGCCTGTTATAAACTTTGCCCTGACCACAAAAATGAAGCTATCGACAGAAACATTGGAAGTTCTTGTACGCTGGTTGGTATTGAAAATGAGCCAAATCGTCTACGATACCAAGTAAGCTGAGAACACCCCTATTTTTCGAAGGGAGTAAAACTTTTGCTTTTCGCTCACTACAAATAAACTAGAGAAGGCAAATTTACATATACTTGAGCACATATTCTGTGGACGAATAGGAAAAATTTATCATGCCAGCCTAATATCATAGTGCATCAAAATTTAATCTTTTTTCATTACCTTTATAATGCCCAAGAAGCATACAAATTCCTGCCAATTTGAAATTCGAATGCACCTAAGCATGCTCGTCTCTCCATCTGATCCATGAAGTATTTGTGGTAAACATTCTTCTTCCGTTTGCAGCAATGGAGTTATCACCTATAAATTTGAGAAAGAATTTGAGAACGATCCAAGCCGGTTAAAGGAGGCGCCTTTGCAATAAAAAAGAAGTGAACATCTTTGCTTTCCGTGAACTTTATGCTTGTTACTCATAAACAAGAACAGATCCAAGATACAAATTGCAAGTTATTTTTTAAAAAATTAAGAAAAAATCATCCACGCCCACACAATATTAAAGAATACGCAAAAGCGGTTATTTTCTTTTTTTTTGTTTTTTGTCTCTTTTACGATAGCGATGATGGGTATAAATGATTCGATAACGACCGAAGATAAATTTCTTACTTATTTAAATTCTTTTTTCTTTTATTACAACATAAAATAATAGAAAATTTTGCAAAATGTTTAAGTTCGCATAAAATCTTTAATAAGTTAATTTGCACAACACTACTAACTAAAATTTTATTATATATTTAAAATTAAATTAAATTCGAAAGCGAAAATAAAAAAAAACTTTCAGTTCGAAATAAGTTACATATTAGAGCTTGCCGAAAATGAAATCTTAACTTATATTCAAAAAAAAGAAAAAAATTTAAAGTACAATAAATGAAATAAGTCTGTGTCTACAGTAGTCTGTAAATAATCTACTTTTTTACTTTACTTGACTTTATTAAATCACTTACTTTATTTAATCATAATCATAATTAAGAATATTATTAAATGATTTACATATATATGCACGATATTTGAAAATTACATATACATATACTTTTAACCAGATAAGTCACCGTGATCGAACAGTGACTGGTCATACAGTTCAGCATGGACTCGTCGCCCGCCAAAGAATCGACCATTTAACGCTTCTTTACCGCGAAGAGCTTCGGAAGATGACGAAAATTCTACAAAGATCTTGACAATGATTTCCGCTTCATCGTCGTCTTCGTTTTCAGTTTGCTTTTCATTAAATATTATTACTCGGCTAACAGTCCCGAATTTGGTGCACTCCTCTTGAATCTCTTCTTGCAACGTTTCGTCAACATCTTTGGGCCCAACCATATTACGCAATATTATAACGTGCGATTCCTGTGGCCTCATCAAACGCTGCATAACGAATTGCCTGGCGCTTTGTCCTTTAATTGACATGCTTTCTTGCTGCTGTAATGTCTGCGTTTCACCTTCTTCTAATAATTTCTTTTGCAATTCCTCTTGTTGCTTTTCGTGAGCTTTCTTGATTTGTTCGGCTTGTGCTACGGCTACTGTAGCTGCAACTAACGGTTTAGTTGCGACATTGTTATTGTTGGGTACTGCCATCGTTGCTGGTCGTCCGGTTATTGTAGCATTGGTTAAGACGTCCGTAGTGCCTGTGTTAATTTTACTAAGTAATGGAATAGATGCTGCGGTATTAACAGCAGTTCCAAGTATTGCTTTCGAGACCGATAATGCTGAAGTGGTACTAACTGTTTGAAGTGTTGAAGCGGTCAATAGATTTGACGCGATGCTAGGGGTCTGAAACATGCCAGCCTGAATGAACGCGGCCGTAGCTGCTGCTGGTAGTGTAATGTTCGGATGTAAAGCAGTGGAAGCGGCCGTTAATGGCAACGCCGCTACCTTCGTAGTTGCCAGTGGAAATATGCCTAAAGTTGGAGTTGTCGCTGATAAACCTAAAACTGCACTACTAGCCACGGCGTCTAAGGCTTGAATTTTCGCAGTAGCTGTAGCAGCCGCCACAGCTGCAGCAGTTGGCATTGTTGAATTTGTAGTTGGGGAAGCGAGTGCATTTGGTGGAGTTATCGAGCGACCAACTCTGAAAATATAGTTTAAATTAAAATTAATCAAAATTAATCATTTCATTCAAAGAGTATAGAGGAAATTACCTTAACTTTTGGCCGCCTAGATCAAAACGATTCATGCTTGCAATAGCCTCATCCATAGCTTGTTTATTAACGTACTCAATGAAACCGTAACCCTTGTGAGTATGAGGAGAAGTGCCGGGTGCTAGTTTACAATATAAAATTGGCCCAAAAGCTTCGAAAACACTTTTAATATCATCCTCCGATAGATCCGGATGTATAGATGCCACGTAGATACTATTGAAACTTTTCGCTTCTTCCTGAATCTCGTCAATGACTTGTTGCGCTTGTGGCATATTACACGGACGACCGACTTTAATGTTGCGGCCACCCATCAACGCTCCATTCATTTGTTCTAATGCTAATTGAGCGCCTTCAGGAATCTCAAATTCGACAAAAGCAAATCCTTTATGTTTTTGGGTTATGGGATCCCAAGACATATTAATCGATTTAATTGGTCCAAATGGAAGAAATTCTGCTCTAATTGTGTCCTCTTTCAATTCAAATGAAATGCTACCTACATAAACTCTGCAATTAAAAAAAAAATATTTTTGATAATAATTGCGTAATAAAGTATTTTTATATTTTTACTGCATATCTGACATCATCAGAACTCAAATATTATATTTTGTCGTATAAAATGGGCAGCTATCACTCGCGCAAATATTGGAGCGGAATTCCCTGCAGAGTACGGTAATAAGTTAGGACCTTGTACCATGTATGGTATCCTTGTACCCTAACAGCACAAGCAGTTAATTCACTTTCTGTCAGTATACACTACTTCTTTTCAAAATGAATAATTTATTTTAAAAATTATTTAAAATTTTTTAATTTATATTTCTATACCCACTACTGTAGAATGGGAGCATATCGATTCTGTTTTTTTTATCATGTATGTAAGAACCAAAATGAAGCTTCAGAGACCCTCTAAATGTTTTCTATATATATTCTTGATCAGTGTGAAATGCTGAGTTAATTTAGCCATATCTGTCCGTCTGTCCGTGATTGTGTGGTGTTTGTTGTTGACACTCCCCTGGCGAAAATGAAGATATCGTCTCCAATTTGGTAGAAACATTGGAAATTTTTGCACGAAAGTTGGTATTGAAAATGGGCCAAATTGGTCAGAGCAAACGCCCGCAGTAAAGCATAAATTGAACGCAACCCCGTTTTTCTTAACAAAAATCTGTGCCGTCTTGCTTCTTGCTCGGAAATTATAAAAGCTAGAAGAGTGAAATTTTCCACGTTCACTTTACGAACCAGTCTACTCTTTATGTGCAAAAATGGAAAAAAATCGGCCATGCTCACGCATGATTACGAGAGCAAGGCAGAATGTTTAAAACTGTTCAGAGTGTAAAATTTTGTTTTTTAAGTTAACAACAATACTAAAAAGGATAAATGAAAACAAGCGGTATTCGAATCCCGTGAATTAAATCCGTTCCAAAACCTATATGTAATTAAAGGCGACATTTTGGGGGCAAGGCGTGAAACAGATGGTCGTCTACCAAGTTCAAAGTTGTATGAATCTAAAATAATTGCCCTAATAGCATACACACTTGCTGGATGTTTTTACTCTTACACTAGATTCACATTTACGTACCTGCACATTAATGCCAAAGCCTGTTGCCTTTGTACTTGTGTACGTTGTGAAGCCAATTGCTGCAATACAAATATTTTTATAAATGAAATAAAAATTTTACCAACGAATAATTGTAATCGAATCGAGCATGCCTTTCGGCTTGGAATTTACTTTTTAAAAAAATATTATCAAAGCCCTCCAGGATAGAGGCCGTTTTAAAGGTTTAACGTGGCTATACGTCTTGAAAAGTTAATGCTTTGATGCCAAACTTTGTATGCAGCAAATTTCTTGTCACTCAGAATACACAGATATTCAGTCCCTTAACACTTACATGTACAACCGGAATTGATTGTTTTCGTGTATAAAGCAACTGCAGAGTAAATTATTAGTCAAACTTGATGTGTCTGCCTGCTGGTCTCCTACTACAGCGAAGCAACATGTCCTATCCTTTATTAGCGTAAAATATTTACAAAATATGGTTCATGGAGATTGATGGAAAGCTCGCCTTCAATCTCATCCGCTCTCGCATTACCGGTCAGGAATACGCAGAAACTTAACGTTAGCTTGGCCTCCTGGGAATAATACCTGATCGAAAATACATTTGCGGAAAATATTTCTCAAAAGTATCTACGAATGTAGCCCTAAATGAGTATTCCTACCACATTTAATCACAAATTATGTGGAGAAGTCAACATCTATCTGTCAGTGTCAGAAGGTTCTAATTAGTCCCCTCAAAGCACATGTATCCAATTTTTTCGAGAAATAAAATAATGATCAAAAGCATTTATTGTCATAGTAAGTAAAAATTACCTGTTGTTGATGAGCGAGTGTTTGTTTCATTAGAACCATCTTTATGCTTTGTTCCATAGCATATTTTTTCGCCTTACTAACTAATTCATGCTGCTCCGAAGTGAGTTTTGGTAAAGCACCACCCAGCAACCCTAACAATGCTGATCTGGTGCCCGGTCCAAATTTCACATCACCACTCTGTTTAAGATCATATATTGGCTGCGAAATGTAGGGAACTTTTGATTCAAAGGATTTTCCTACAAACAAAAACATATTTCTTTAGTAATTCTTTGCCTTTTGTTTTACTTAGACTACGTCTAGCTTTTTGGTTAAATTTTAGATATCTTGCAATTTCTAAATGTCAATTAGAAAACTTCTCACTTAGGTCCCGAAAGGCCGCTTAGAAATTTTACTGAATCTCAAACATCGATATCCCTTCAATAATGCATATATAGATTGCTCGCTCAAAAGCAAGAAGAAGAAGTAAGAATGTGCGACATGGAATTAAAGTTTCTTACAAGAACTATATTTGATTGCTCTTATAGATAACTAATAGTAAAGATGTATACGTCACGGCAAAAATTATAACATAGCAGCCCTGGGAAGGAGATCCACATTAGGTCTTAGGTATTTTATGACTTTGTTTTGTATAAGACCATCTTTATATGAAGGTTTACGGCCACAATGCAAACGGGGTTTCCCGGGGAGAAACCTCCATAAATTTATGCTTTCATTTAAGCGTAACCTACGCATATGTTTTTGTAACGAATCCTACGCATCCTCCCACGATGTATCTCTCAATCTCTTATGAGAATCTTGGGAATAATTAAAATTTTATTGTTTTTTTTTTACCGCTTAAGTTCGTTTATTTGTTCGCAACCATATAATTGTACACATGGCAGTACACTTTTACATTTCGAATTATATAGGAAGAAAACCCCCGACAAAGGATAATAAAAAATTTATTTGTTGATGCAAATTTAATACAAACTTCGGTTCAGTGCATACTACGGCTACTGTTCCAAAATATTATGCGCACCTTCTCAGCGCACCTCTGTCCCAAATTTTATACAAACTAGATCGTTCCCGTTCAAAATACGCGATTCTTTTCCGACTGTCCGACTGTCCGCCTGCGACGCACTTCATGGTACGATTTATTATAACTTTCCAAACATTTTATTCAATGTTATTAGTTTAAAGTAAACAAAAAATTTTAAACACAATATGAAATAACCAAAGAATTTAAATTGAAAGTTCGAATGGGACCCCCCAAGCCTATCGTATATGGATTAGCGTTAAAAGGATCCGTATTTTGGCTGAAAAGTTACAGACCCGAATATGAATAGCGCGGCACTTATCCACAAAAGTTGGGCAATATGTTCGTGCATGCATTGAGAGTCATCCACCAAATTACGTCCATTTTGAAGGCGTTGCTTGGCAATTGTTCGAGTGAGTTGATACGAGTATTTTTGTGAAAATGGCTTAAGGGGATTTTATTAAGTATTTGGTTTTGAGACAGATTAATATTGTGCGGTACAGTGTATACGGAGGCAATGAGTCATCGGTTACATTAATAAAATTTTATATAATTGAATTGCAATATGAGTTCATCAACTATGAGCCAAAATATGCAACCACTGAAAAAAAATCGCAGTAGTTTATCAAAGGATGCCGAGCGATCATATAGTTACGGCTTAAGATTGGAAAGATAGCAAAGGGTATCAGATTTGAGCATGACAACGCCAACCGTCCGTTGGATGTACCGTTTGTTCGCAGCGGAACGACGACACCAATGCGTCACTGATTTAGAGCATGGGCGAAATTGCATGATATATAGTTTTCCAAATTTCAAAAGAACGCTTGAGTGAAAAGATTTGAATGAATTGATAAAATCAAAGGCATTAGTGCCATTGCACTGATTTTATCATTTTAGAAGAAAACCATTCTCCGGGATAAAATTGAATTTCGGGAAGCAAATAATCTTTCGTACTTAGTGCC